AAGAACCACAAGTATTTTTATTATTGTTATTGTAGTTGTTACTAATAATAGTAGCAATAACAACAATAATAGTAACAATAATTATAATAATGATGATAATATTTTCATACTAAATAAGAGATGAATAAATATTGGCATCTTTGACTTTTTCTGCTGCTTTTTTATCTGAGTATAATATCTCCATATATGTATTTGCATACATAAATAGTTGCGGTTCAAATGTACCTTTCCTTTCTATGGTGTAGAGTGCTGGCCCAATATTGCTGGTACATGCTGGAAGGATAGAATTGCTCAGCTGTCAGCCTCAAGTGGGCTGTAATGAAGCATAAATTGGCTGGACATTTCTTGAATGCTGATGCTGCTTCTAAATGGATGTACTTTATAATTTTGTGTCATATGTGTATTTGCTCTGTGTGTGCACGTGTAAATGTAATATTACATCAGAAATTGAGAACATTGATACACAAACATGGGATAAAACCCCAAGCATAGTTTTTAACACCATCCATATCTATCAGAAGTAATTTAAGGGGTTTATATCTTTTTCCGCATAATGACATGGTGAGCTGTTTCAAGTGTTGCCTGAACAATTAACTTGTAAAAAAATAAAATCTAGGGCCTCGTATTTCCTTTTCAGGATAATTTCTGAGTAATTTATCTTGGTGTCATCAAGGTAATAGGTTGACCACTTGCTATGTATGTTTATTTCACATCCAAATTAATAACCATGGCCTCCATATACCATATTAATGTAACCCACACTAATGTAGTATGCGTGTTGTTCCTGACTAGTGGTGAAACTGCCTCTCTGCTAGTTGACAAGTCATTTAATCTGAAGTAGTAAATTCTTGTGAATTTATATTCTGGATTCAGTTCCCAAGGTAACCTAATTTGAGGCAACATTACTGTCATTATATTTATTGTTCACTGGGAGAGTTGGGGGCACTAAGTATCTTGTAGGAGGTATTAAGCACTTGCCACAATCAGGCTGGTATGAAACTATTAGCATCTATTGACAAGAAGCTGTTTTCATTAGAATTAACACTTGTGAAACATTTGCTAACCTCTGTAATGCAAAATGCCTTTTTATTTCAGTTCTGCATTCCCAACAAAGAGATGATGCCCTGTCATGTAGGTGCTAATGGGTCAAGGCTTGTGATCTCTATTCATAGGTTTTAGCATGATAATGTAATGAGCTCTTCTTACATTCCACTATAACCTAGACTGCCTTTCTATGTGATCACCACCCAAAATATGTATAACATACAAATGTTTCCCCTTCTGATGACAGGAGCAGGCAAAAACATATTTGTTTGCAATTCAGGTGCAGCAGATTTTCTGGGTACTTATTTGTGCTCAGTCTGTGGATTTGTACTCCATACTGATTTTTTTTTCATTTCTCCTTAGATATTAAAACCTATTTGAGTTTTAGACGATGTGAGATTTTGGTCAAATACCCTTATTTCTTTCTTATTCCCATATAGCACCTTCTTTTTAAGTACTACTTGTTTTTACGCAACTTTGACACACTTTGGGGTCCAAACAAAAGGCTCTGAACTCTGGCCAGAGCATCAGTGTCTTTGGAACATACTGTATTATTGATAAGGAGTAGGGCATAAAATTCCATAATGTGAAATCAGTTATGTTTTTTATCGTCAGAGCTTGAGGACGTCAGGTTATTTAAATCACAGCAGTGATGCAGGGAGTGTGTTCTCCCCCAATTATGCTCATATTGGAGATAATACTGTCAGAATTTCATGCCCTTCCCATTTCATCTAGCTTTTGAAGGTTGCCTTTTTTGTAGGTACAGTGAAAAGAAAATTCCTCTTTCATCCTGTTCCATTTATTATTATATGTTATTAAGACATTGAAAAAAAATCTGAGCTAAATCAAGGACCTCTGAATGCTAATAACTACAGTGAGTCAGTAGGAGATGCAACTGCTCAACTCTTAAGACATGCACCCAACATCTTACTCAGGCAAATTTAGAGATTATCCTTGAAAATTTGAGACAACACTTCTCTTACCTTGGTTTCTCTATCCATAACATTTGGGTGATGATGGTTATTCCACTAGAGTGTTGGGAGGCTTTATTTATTCATATTTGTAAAGTGTTTTAAGACTGCCAGATGGAAGGCTCTATTGATTCAAAGTATTTTTAACAAAATTTAACTATTTTTTAACTACAGAGAAATTTTTACCCTTTTCAATATTGCTTAAGCTGCTTCAAACCAAAATGATAAATAGAGACCATGAAGCACCTGGTAATATTTGTTTCGTCCACTGTTATTGAATTGAATGCACAGATGTTTCTAGTGAGTTAAAAGTAAAATAAACTATCATCCTTCAGGAGCTGCTGAAACCACTTTATAGTTTGCAGAAGCTCCAGCAAAGCTTTAAGACAAAACTATGAAGTAGGAGCAAGAGCAGCACTTATTTCATAAGGCTAACGTCCTATTTATTATTTTGTTTCAGATTATTTTTGTTCTTGCTAATTCCCAGTTTTAAACAACTTGATATTATTTTAATCATGACCATAATATGCTTATAAAATATGCTTAAAATAACCAGAACTACACCAATTCTTTACATTCCTTTTACTGACCACGGAGGATATAATCTCTTTCCCCATCTGTTCAGGGGAATGAAAAAAATGTCTAGATTCAAACCACTATTGGATCTTTTGGTGTGCTCTGTGCCTTATGATAAATACATTCTCAGACAAAAACTTGCTTAAAATTTAGCTACCATTGTAAACACCTTTTCTTGCACCATAATGCAGCATGATGCTTTACAGGGATAAGGAAAAACACTGCTCCAAACTTCATAGTCTACAGACAGTATACCTAGAAAATAAATACAGTCAATGGAATAGAAGTAGAAGAAAAAAAAGAATGACAGTTCAAATAAAGATCCACTGTGTTGAAAACAAATATTATATTAATTATGATATTCCTAGTTCTTAACCGTAACAAACCATTCAGATTTTTCAATGGAATACTTTCCAAAAATAAAAAAGCTAATTTAGATTTTTGTTTCAAATATTAACAGAGTATGTTGAACTTTTGGGGAGGGATCATTTTGAAACATATTGTTGTCAGACACTTCTTGTCTTATTTTATAAAATAACATATGACGTCAACATTGAACCGTTGTCATTGCTATAAATATGTCATTCAGCTGTCTCTTATGGGAAACCTTGAATTTTTGTTTTTGGTCAAATTTAGAGTAGCTGTTTCCCAAACAAACAGAATTTCCTGTAAGAAAGAAATTCCAAGCTTTAACCAGCACTAGAATGAGCGTGGGTCAAAAGAAGAGGAGCTGATCAATGATGACTTGAATGTAAGGCAGAATGTTTTGAGGGGATGTTTTGAGGGCCATAGAAGCATCTGAAGAGGAACAAAACAGTACTGCAGATATCAAGAAGTACATGGGAGGAGGGTTTAGGAATAAGTAGAATGTGCCAAGGAAATGAGTTTGCAGACAGAGGTAGATCTAGAACAGGGGCGGGCAATTATTTTGGGCAGAGGGCTGCTTGCTGACCTTTGGCAAGCCATCGAGGACCGCCTGACAGGCAGCCAGGGGCAGATAAATATTAATTTTCTTAATTTTAGGGGGGGGCCGTGGGCCGGATAGAATGGCCTGGCAGGCCGCATCCAGCCCCTAGGTCGCATTTTGCCCACCCCGATCTAGAATTTTGAAAACAGGAGGGTACAGATGGTGAGGTGCTTCATCACGTATGAAACAACACATGTTTTTCTCCAGTTAAAAATAAACTAGAAGCTGTATTAATATGCTAGTGGCCTAGGGCTGTGTTATTTAGTTAAAAATTAAAATGAAAACAAATATAACTTCATTGGAATGAGTTGAAAACAACCTGCAGGGCTGTGAAATAGGAGCTATGTTACCAGGAGGAGCTAACAGACAGCAGAATTGAAGAACAAAAAATAACTTGATTGGTGGAACATCAAGACCACTAAAAAGAAGAGAGGGTCATTAACTCCTGTGCAATGCAGAGTTTAGAAGGTAATCAGGTAGGTTATAATGAGCCATGAGGTCAGTTGACTCCCTCAGCATTTCCTGCCTAGAAATGTTGCTGCCACTGCCAGACAGTTGGTTTTATACTTTGGGTGAAGCATGAATCAAAGTGGGCTGGGGAGAATGCAAGTGCACCATTTCCACTCCTATTGTCAGGGTACAGTGTGGGAGATGATTGAAGCTTAATGCAAGCCAGGATCGATCTTCATAGCTAAAAAAAAAAAAATGAGGTTTTTAAATTTTGTGCAGAAAAAAGTATGGTGCTGAAAAAAATTTCAGTTAAATTAGAACATAAAAGTAAAAATTCTTCAGCATTAATTCTGGCTCTGTGTTTCCACAAATCAGAACCCTATGATTCCAATCACAAAGAGATTGCAAAAGCTCTGTTTTATAATATTTTTAGCTGTACTTAAAGTTGTGGATTTGTACTTGAAATATGGAAGATGCATGTTGTGAGGAACGGTGAACACATGGAGCAGGTTTATGCATTGGGAGAACAAGCTATGATACAAGATTAAAGTTAAGAGCTGTTTGCAGAACGTTTACTTTGAATTTCTGAGGTTTCTAAAGTGTTTTGATTTTCAATGTGAAGTTGCAACTTCTTAATTTTATTGGATGTTTTTGTGTAAGCTGAAGATGTCTGTCTGCTTATTTTTCTTGTAATCTAGAAATTTCCTTAAGCATACTGTATTTAAAACTCTATAAACCTACTGTGGATCATATTTTCCTTTGTTAATGTCTGTATTTTGCTTCTAGCCAGTGCTTGACACCGGTCTGGGTCATTTCATTACTTGTAACAGCTCTTTGTGATAACTTGAACATGTGTAAAGTGCTATGTAGAACAAGTCTGTCCCTGATAGCTTTTGCTGCAGCTTAGTTCTTGGTTGAGATGTCCAGCATTTTACTCAGTCATTTTACTGTCAATAATTAACTTGTTTCCTGCTTAACTTGAATCTTTTTAGGGTGAAGTTGTGGAATTCCTAGATGAACTCCTAGAAGTGGATGAGAACAGCGAATCCTGATGAATAAAACCACACATCTCTCTCTTTTTAAGTGAAGAGCCACTGTTGTTCCTTCATATCATCTTCTGTATTTGTAACTCATGTTAGCAACACCTTGAAGTTGTACTTTTAAGCTCAGTCAAAGCTCACAAGAAACACTTCCGTGGGATTACCACCATGTTGCACTGACCTTTTCACAAGTGTGGCTTGTATGTTTTCAAATACATGTGAGGCACGTGTGATTTGATCTTGACTTCAATTTCTTTAAAATAGTATTTAAAAACAAAAACAAGCTCTTCAGAATCTCTGAACTGTCATTGAGCTTCCTCACTCAAATTGCTCTAGTAAATTATAATAGGCCAACTCTGAAGGGGTTTTGCCAAGTTATGAATTAAGCCAGTGGTTTTCAAACCGTGGTCCACAGAATTTTGGGGGTCAGTGATAGTTCATCGGGCGTTCAGCAAAGAGACCAGAAGTAATGGCAGAACTGGCTGGGTGATGGTGTGCCACCATTGCCCGGCCAGGTCACCTGGCTCCACATCAATCTTTAGGATAGGGGTAGTGGTTCTGGGGCGAGAAAAGTAGTATGAGAGGGTTCTGTGCTTTTTAGAAAGTTTGAAAACCACTGAAATAAGTTATTGAGGAGGGTGTACCAACTGTCAAGGTTGTCTGAGGTGTGTAACAATATTGTTTGAGTAGGGCTTTCCCCATGATAAACAGTAAAATTATTGGAAATCTCAGGGCATCAGAGTTGCCAGCACATTACACAGGAAAAGTGTTCCAGACCTCAAATAAGGTTTTAAACAAAGCACAGCTCTACTTTTACATTTGCTTTGAGAACTTCCTTCTGTTGGTAATTCTGATCTTTTAAAAAAAAAAGTCAGGTTCTATGACATGAAGCAGGAGGTCACTTAGCTATTTATTGAATCAACTCTGTCCTTCCTGCTCTTCTCATTTCTTGCTCCGTCATTTCAAACTCAGTCCTGCAGATCTCTGCTTTCATAAGTAATCCTTGCCCATGTGAAGATTTAATCTTGTAAAAATACAAAGAATGGTGTGTATGATCAAGCTGTTTCAGTTTGAGCAGCCTGCATATTTTTACTCATAAAAGGAAATAAAGGTAAAAATATTCGGTCAGCACAACAAGCATTTGACTGCCACCTGCTAGTGGTAGGTAGAAAGTGTTGGGAGACTGAAAAGATGACGTCTATTATATACAGGTCAAGATCATGTTGCGTAAGTGTTTCTAAAGCCACGAAAAATATTTAAATGTAACTGGTAAAATACTGTTCTATTGAAATCAATAACAAAAAAGGCCCATTCACTTTAACAAAGCTGGGATTTTGGCTTTGCGTTTCATATCTTTCTTTTTTTAAGATGGCTCCTGCCAGTAAGTAAGCCCTGTTCCCTTTAATTGGAGACAAGGGTATTTAGCCTCTTGCATGAACTAAACTGAGCCCTTGCTTGGATATCCAATGTGAGCAGCTGAACTGTGAGAGCAAATTCAGTAAAAAGAATGTGAACTCTTGCTGAACCACCCATCACTGCTGCAAATTCACTTGTGTGTTTGATTCCCAACTACACCAGAGAACCAAAGGAAAACCACAGGTTAAGGAAGAAGTGTCTTTGGTTATCTCTCAGTCACTAGTCAGAATGGAATACTTTGAAATATGATTAGAGATATATACTCACCTCAGATTCTCCAGTGTAAATCCTGATTAATCCATTGAAGCCAGTGAGCCAAAATCTGTACACAGTCATAACACTAAATCCAGCATAACTCCATCAGCTTCAATGAATTTATGACCATATAATAGGAGAATTTGGCCTTACTCAGTGCCTAACTGCTTCAGCAGAGGTGGCACATTTCAGATTTCCTTGCACTTATTGTTCTTCACAACATTGTGCTTGTATTTATTGTAACTTTTGTGCGAATTCAACTTCTTTGCCTTTTAAAAAAAATGTAAACAGTTTATTGTAAGGTAGCTTTCATTCTATACATACCATTATGTTATCTTATGGTCAGTATCCTACTGGGTTATTCTGTTTTCAAGAAATAAATGTGTTTAGTATTAAATTTTGGAGAAGCGGCCACTTTGGAGTTCTGTCCTCTCTTTGGCTCTCAGAGAGATGTGGAAGGATGTTCTCTAGCTTCTCCCTCCAGAAATTTGCCCCTGAAATTAAAATCATCTGGCTGAATGTCTTATTTGCTGTGGGTCTCTTGACTCGGCATCTCGTATTACAACTGGTGTTGAGGCAATTTAAGAGGATGTTTTAATGCACATTTGCCTTTGTTATTGTTATTACAATCTTGGTTCTTCTTTTGGTTTTATTTTGTTCTTGTGTTTTGCCAAACCCACTTGTCGTTTCTGTAGAACGAGGAACATCTGCCAATTGCTTGTTTGTATGTTGCCTAACTTGGTGGACAATTCTTTTTTGGGGCCACTAGGTGCTACTGTATTACAAAAATAAAGTGCCTTAAAGATAACTTTAAAAACTGGAGCCTGTTGTTTGAGTTACTGGGCCTGATCTGTGCCACAACTTTGCATCTTGAGTGGACACAAAGTGGATGAAACATGCTTCTAAGTCAAAATGGCAACAGTTGACCCAAGGCAGAAAGTACTCCTAAAGGTGAAAGAAAGCATAGATTTGAACCCTAAATCTGTTATGTCCTTCCCACCCATGTTTGTTTCTTTCCACTGAATATTTCCTGAGCATTTCACAGTAATATGAACCACAATACTATGAGAATATGTAGTAAATTGAACCATATATTGAAACCACCCTGAGCCTTCTTGGGGAGGGTGACATGAAAATTGAATGAATGAGGCCTAAGAAAAGGTATTGTGATATTCAAAAGCTTGCCTATGTCTATAGCAACCATACAATTGGTCCAATAAAAGATATCACTCACAAGAATTCTTTCCTCTTGAATAACTAAATATTATTGGCACACTTCTGAGCCCATTAATGAAGCACTGCGTATCAAACTAATTTCTGCTGTAGCCACTTTGACCTCAGTGGGATTACACTAGGGGTGAACATACCTTCTGTGTTTGAACACTTACTTTTTCTATTCAGCAGATGACTACTTAACCATTGGATGGTTCCAGGGTGTTACTAATTTTCCTGTTAGCTTGTGATTCTGTCTTAAACGTTCTGGAACCAGTTTATTTTCATGTTCAATCCTGTTTGCTGTTCTCAGGTTTTTAGCTAAAATCTCATGATGTGCATTTTCAGGTTGAAGCTCCATAACTTACTGAGTTGTCCATTTGCACTGGCTTTCCTTTAGATGTGCCAATTTACCTACATCTGATTATTTTGATCTCCACTTCCACTCCTTTTCAGCCTATGCGGGGAACTCATCAATTATTCCTGTGGCCTTCTAAAACGGTAGTTACTTTTTCATGTGTTTTGTGGATTTTTTGGCTTTTCTGATTTCCATTACCTATGGTCCCAAGCCAGTTCAGTTTTAATAAGCTTGGAAAGGTGTACAATTCTAGTTCTTTTCTAATGAGGAATAGCTTCTCTTCCAGTTACTTTTCTTCAGTGATAATTTTTTTCAGTATTGTCAAATCCTTTCAAGTGATTTTTGTTCTGTTGCTGCACTGCATAACTGCAATAAGTATCATCTCCCATTTTCTGCCAGTTTTTCTTGGGAGGCATGGAGATGCACGTGGTAGCGTTGTTCTCCCTCTACCCCTTTTTCCAGATTTCTCCAGCTGTCAGACATGTACCTTTGCCATAGCAGCTTTTGCCAGATTAGAAAGATTTTTATTACAGTTCCACTTCCTTTAACATTTTTTCAACTACTTATAACATAGCCCTTATGCTGTTGGAGTGCATTTTGTTGAAACTACTGGAAATTTGTGGTAGCTCTGAATGAAGTGTGTCCCATACTGATTTCTAACATGTGGCTTTATACACATATGGCGATTCATAGGCTTGGAAGGAGCTTCAAGGGTCATGTACTTCAGCCCCCTGCAGGATGTGCTGTTCCTAAGCCATTCCAGATGCCTATCCACCCTCTTCTTGAAAATATCCAGTTAAGAAGATTCTACAGCTTGCCTAAGCAGCTTGTCCCATTGTCCCATAGTTCTTACAGTTAAGAAGCTTGGGGTTTCTTTCTGTAATTTGATCCAAATCTGCTTTGCTTCAGTTTAAGCCCGTTGCCTTATGTACTTCCCTCCATGGCATGGAAGAGCAGTTCTTCCTTTTCTTTATGGCACTCTTTCAGATATTTGAAACCTGCTCTCTTATCTCCCCTTAACCTCATTCTCTCCAAGCTAAACCTGCCTACTTCCTTCAACCTTTCCTCATGGAGGTTGCATTCCAAATACTTCATCATCTGTATTGTGTCTAATTCTTTTCCAGTTTCTCCACATCCTTCTTAAAATACAAACCCCAGGACTGGACACAGTGCTCCCACTGGCTGCGTCCACTCAGTTGTTACTGCCCAGTCACTTAGTATTTGCACAAGCAAGTACCGTTGCCACACATTGTTTTTCCCAACACTACTGCGCAGTATTTTTGCCACATTGTTGGTGCCCAGCAATGGTTCTGCGCTGTGGCAACGAGCTATGGTGCAGTAGCTTGTTGCTACTGCACCGTAGTATCTTGTGTAGAGACACCCACTGAGACCAGTGGCAATGCACAGGGGTGCATGGGGGTGCACGTACACCCCCTGAGAGTGCCGGTGCATGCCCAACCAGCCGCGCTTGCTGCTTAGGTGAGGGGTGGGGGGGAGGCAGGCAGAAGCACCAGTGCCCCCCCCCGTGAGCAGAAGTGGCCGCAGCAATCGGCTGCCTTGGAATTGTCCATGCCCCCCCCTTGGCAAAATTGGCCGCAGGGGGACCCTCCCTGGTCAGTGAGACTGTCTGCTCCCTGGTCGTTGGGGGGGGCATGTGCCCCCCTCCAAGGTGGCACCAGTTTCCCATGACTGAGACCTAAGTAGTGCTGAGTAGTAGTGCTCCTGTGTCTTGCATACAATACTTCTGCTAATGCAGCCTAAAATTGAAGCTGCTTTCTGCAATGGCATCACACTGCTGACTCATACTGAGATGTGATTCATCAAATTATGCAGATCCTTCTCCACAGTGCTACTGCTTAGCCAGTTTTCTCCCATTGTGTATTTTTCTTTCATTTACATGTATTTTTTTCTGCCTTACATGTAGCCTACATTTCTGGTTGTTGGATTTAATTTTATTGTCTATATCCTAGTTTTCCAATTTATCAAGATCCTTTTGAATGTTAATCCTATCTAATTTGCTAAGTAAACTCTATTCCTGCATCTGTGGGTGTGGACAAGTGTTACATGTCTCGCAGGAGATGCACCATTCTACTGAGAGAGTCCTTGAGCCATACAAGCATTCATGCAGTTTCTCGTGGAGGAAAAATGGCAAATCCAGCAGAAAGTTCTACCACCTTCAACCAGGAAGATGTTGTATCTGTCAGTGTTTCTCTGAACAGAACACACACTTGTAGTACCATTCCCTTTTTATGGGAGGCTGTGGCACAAGTTGTTAACACTGCCTTTCACCCTATGTGTTTACAATCAAAACTTCCATTGACCTTTCTTGCTCATGTAAAAGTGTAGAATTGTCTCTGATGATTTTCTGCATTTCTGAAAACCCAGTGGCTATTTGGATAGCTGCTGCCAGCCACTCTGATCCTTCTCTGTTGCCCACAAACAAGTATGTAATGGTCTTCCATGAATTAAACAAATACTGCAGTCAGCACTTACTAGTGAACATATTAGGGTGAAATTCAGCCTCAACACAAGACCCACCTCACAACTGAAGTCCTGTGGTAATATGTTGAACAGAGGCTTTCTGCATGGTGGGGAATTTATACAACGTTTCAATTTAAATTGAGTTTCAAGTTTTGGCATTCCAAATGTTTTTGGGTACAATGACAACCTCTTGATGCATGAGCCATGATTGCAGTAGTTATGAATTTTGTAATTAATAATAAGTTGATTTGGCAGTGCTGCGTTGAGAATTCTAGTGTGGAACCTTTCCATGTTAATAGCAGCTCTTTATCTACCACAGTGCTTCACCAGCTTCTTAGTAATGCACTTTGCTGATGTGCAACATTCATTTAAATGAAACAGAGGGTAGGACTGGCATTGCTCAAAGACTGAAATAATTCTGCTGAAAAGCTACTAAAAATGGGATCGCATATTTACCATCCTTCAAATACATTAAGTTTAGAAGTAAAATATTTTTTTTCTGATAATCAGTTCCTGCAAATTCAACTTGCAAACTGAAAATCAAGCCGGGTCCTTCCTGCAACAATTTCAGCAATAAAACATTCTGCCTTCAGAACTTAGTTAAATCTCTTGATGATACATAGGCCAAAATAGAATCCAGTTTTCTCTGTTTGTCTCCCCAGAAAGTTCATTGCTTTGCAATGTGAACAGGAGTAAAAAAGAACAAAACAAAAACAAAGCCCTAAACTAGAAATGCACGCGCACACACAAACTTAAAAGAAAATCCAGCCATTAAAATGGATGTTATTCTGAATATATGTGCAAAGCAGGTCTGAATAGAGAGGTGCCATTTTTCATACTTTAAAGAAGAATCCCATAGTTCTTGATAAAATTGTAAGGCACATGCCTGAAACAATCTATTCCTTTTAAATCCATATTATAATCTTTGGTTATGATTTGCTTTGACTAATCCCCATTGCATATCCCTGCATTCAAGAAAGTTGATATTGGAAGATACTGACAGAAGAAGTGAACACAGGAAATCAGCCTTTATGAAGGTGTTCTAATAAAAAAAATCCCTATTTTAATAACATATACATTTTACAAGTCTGAATATTGAGTTGCAGTTAGATAAAGAGTTGCTGGATTGTAAAAATACAAGTGTTTATTATGGCTGGTATTGAGGATAAACAGTTGCCTGTATATGCCAGCTACTATGGAAATATGTTTTTAAGTTCTAATGTGAGCTGTAAACCAAAGCTACTTCAGTTAAAAAAAATCAATACTTAAACTGTGGGGAGAAGTAACTGGTGCCAGAGAAAACATTCTCATTTAATAATGTTTGAACATAGACCTGTGATGCAGTTTGTAGCAGGGCAGTGAGAAAAACCCACAACTAATCCTTCATTGCAGCTGTCTGAACTTTTGGTTGTCTGCCATCCTTTAAACAGCCACTTCTTTTTTCTGGGGACTCAAGACTTGAATGACCTAGTGTGGAGTTTAAGCAAAAAAGAAATAAATTAAGAAATAGCCAAAGGTTTTGTAAATCAGACTCCACACCCCAGCAAATTAGGGCTTTGTATCTTACCTCCTCTTCACTGAGTGCCTAGAGAAAAATATTAAAATAAATAGATACATATATACAATATTATGTATTATATAGGATAAGGAGATATATTTGCAGAAAAATAGTCAGTGGCTTAGACTTCTCCCTCCCTCGTCTTAGGAGTACTGGTGATGTATGGAAAGAGAATTCCGTTGGGAGTTCTGAATTTTTTAAGTTTATAAATACTAATCATTTTGACATAAAAAACTTCCCAAGTTTTATTGATTATTTTTAACATTTTTCCTTTAATGTAGATTTTAATAACTAATGTGGTTTTCATAGTTACTAATTTTTACTTTGACAAAGTTATGAAACATTTCACTTTTTAAAAATAGGATTATATAGGCTCATCTACACAAGATGTTTACTGTGGAGCTGACTAATTAGTTCTGCAGTAAAGTGTCCGTGTTTACAAGTGCAAGACTATTGGGCTGGAGCAAACTAATTAACTCTGCAGTAGGATAGTATTGCCAAACATAAGTACTATCCTACAGTAGAGTTATTTACACCACTGCAACACACGTGTAGATGCTGACAGGGTTGGCTGGAGCATGAGGGCCCCAACACGTTGAACTGGGTTGGAGCAGCCCTGGGATGGCAGGCTGGCTACCAGGACCCCCTGCCAGCCAGGGTTGCACCACCCTGACTCAATGTGCTGCAGTCCCACGTGCACATCTGAACTGCACCCGAGTTTATTGCATTGCACTAATTGCACATGTAGACATGTCCTATGATTATTAGCATTTTTTAAAGTTTTTTGCCTATATTTCAATCTCACTACTGATTATGAAAAGTGATGGATCAGAATCCTGTAATATGGCAAGTCGTCTCTTTGATTTGATTTGAATGTACACTTTTTCATAAGAATTGTAAAACAGTCCTCCAGAGATGTATGTTATGTTGTTTTTTAGCATTTCAAATGAGTGGACATATAAGTTCAGTTCTTTACATTAAAAAAATGACATAATGTTATCACCACTAGCAAGAAGCTCATTACATTATAAGTCATGAAATACGGTAAATGTATTATACACCTAAAGGAGATATACACAATGAAACTGCATAAAGAAACAAACAGTATGTTAGGAAATTATGAACCAACCATAGGAAGAGAGAGGAGGATTTCCAGACTGATCAGTAATTGTATATTCAAAACTAGAGATGAGAAGTTTTTGTATTTTAATGAAGGCACTGATCCCACTATTATTGCCACAAATGGAGTTTCCTACTGTGAATGCATCTTGTTAATTTCAATTGGACCCTGCACAATATTAATCACTCTTCATGTAGGATCATACTCAAACACTGAAAGCAAATTAGCTTTGTAGGATGGGAAGGCAGTCAAGAATGTCTCAGAATCTAAAGATAAGAAGGATGAAAAAATCTATTTGATATCTGTTCAGTTCCTCTGCCTTTTTGCTTTTTCTAACTGTATTAGTGTTTTGTCTGGTCTCATTTTAAAATATCAAAATTTGGAGCTTCCCTTGAGAAAGATGCTACAGTAATGATCTCCCTAGTAACATTGACTGTTCTACCAGACAATAGATCTCTCAGCCATTAATTTTTTCATAGTAGTCCCCTTAGTTTTTCCTTTAGTAATTCGAAGCCAATGTGGCTTTCATACCCAGAGTAAGTTCTCCTTTCACTTTAGTCTTTTCCCAGATGCTTTTGTGTGTCATTTTTATATTTTTATTTGTATCTTTGCATTTGTCATCCTATTTCATGTAACAAGCTGCAGATGAGGAGAAAGGCTGAGTTAAAATTGTCATTTTTTAAGTCCAATGCTCAATAATTTTTACTGGTCTTCTCTAAATTTCTCCCAATTTATCAATGGCTTTTTAGTTACTAAGCAGCCACAAATGCAAAACAGCCTTCTAGTGCAGAGGGTTAATATTTTGTTGTGACAAACTGGAAGAATTACAAGGACCAGATACTTACTAACTTTTTACTTCCAAAATTTCTACAAGAATTGTAGAATTGTACAAGGTACAGGAATTGTATGATGGACAGACTAATATTTTCCTCTGGAAATGTTTGTAAGTCTGATGGATTGAGCAAGAAAACACAGTCATTTCCCCCCTCTTTTTGTAACTTTGTTTTATTTTAAATATTTCAAAAAATGATGTTAATATACATTTTCTTTTCATGAATAACAAACATCTTTTGAGTATTTTGTAAGAAACCTGTTAACTTGCATTTGTAACTTTGCTTTTTCTGTCTTACATCATGTTTGTTTCCCGAGCCTAAAAGTATCGATTTTGTTTACTTGAGTTGCACTTCATATGCAAATATTATGTAGAAATGTAACACTGGCTTCATGTTTTAGTTAAACAAAAAGCTTTAAAATTGATGTCTTCATATTTATTTTTCGGTATATGTTCATACATACGATACACAGTAGGCACGTCTACATGTGTATTAATGCACCTTTGCTACTGCGTATTAAGTTTAGTACCTCTAATATGAGATACTACATAAATGCACAGTAGGTGGCGCTAATGCACAGTAGCAATGCACACGGTTTTTGCTGTGATGCGCTAATGCACAGTAAAATTACTCTACTGAGCGTTAAGCATTTCATGTAGACATGCCCAGCATGTTTTAGGTAAATCTTCATAAAGTTACTTAGTGCTAAACCATTTTTTAAAGTTACCGAGTAAAAATAGTTTACAACTGTAAGACTAAGTTATTTCATGTTCTAGAATGCATAACAGCATACAATCATGCATATATCAGGAAACACACTATTTACAATTTGTGTACAGTTCGTTTTTGTGGTGAATGCATCCAGACAAGGGTATTCAAGTCCTATCACTATGAAGTCATATTATTTCACAAAGCATGTGGCTGTATTTTTTTTAAAGGCCTTTATTTTCATTACCAGCATGGGAGTTGATTTATGTATAGTGGACTATATTCTGCTTTTCATAAAACAGAGTCAGTTGTCCTCAGTAGAGTTACTTGGGATGTGCACATCACTGTAACTGAAGGCAGAATCTGCCCTTTTTGATCTCCACCAATTCATCTCTGTGGTAATTCACCTTGTCCTCCTCCATAGTTAATGAGCTGCTTGAATATTTTGGCTGAGAATGCACTGTAGAGTGCTAGATGAGCTCATTTCTGACCTGCAGATTATTCACAGTTGCCAGCACTACATCTGTCATTTGGAAAGGTACTTCTTTCTTAGTACCTTCCTTCCTAAATAGGCCCAAATTATTCTAGCAATGCTAGAAATCTTCTCTGTCCATATTTACTCTTAAAAATGTTTTTAATTGGTGTATTTTATTGAAGAAGCCTCCATGTTTGCATCCATGAAGTATCAAGACCCAATCTAAAGGACACAAGTTTCCACTATTACAAGCAGACAGTTTTCTTGTATAGTTTTCCAAATCAAAATAAGGCATCAAATAAATTGATACCCATCTCCCACATTCAATCTCTGCCCACTTTGTACTCCTCTTTATCTGATCAAAAAACAAAATGGCGAACATCAGTCATTCCACCAAGTAATCTGGCAAAAATATTTTATATGACTTTTTCACTTCAGATAAATTATTGCCTATTATTTAAATTTGGTATATTGATCAGCTGGTTCCAGAGGACCTATGTGACTTTTGATGGGTTTTCCTGAAAACTGTTTTTTGTTTTGCTTTTTACCTAGAGGCTGCTAATAGTTCCTGAAATTAGGGGTGTTTTGACAAATTGCCATGCTTATTTTAAAAAAAAATGGCACTTTCTAGTATTGCCTCAAGTCCAGTGAGACATCATAATTTCCACCCAAAACAAAGTTTAATATAAAAAGACACTTTTTCCCTAAGGCTAAAAATACCTGCTGACCCACCCCACTTGGAAAAAATATCTTCATGGCCCTACAGAAACCTCAAATATTTAATGTACATCAACCAAATTTCACAACACTCAAGAAAAAGACCTTAGTGATCATCTTTCTTGATCATCTCTCTAAATGCAATATAACCCGTTAAAAGTATTGTAGAAAATATTTTTCTCATAAAACATTCCTTGTAATCATTGTTGCTTATCCTCACAAATACTTGGTGGTAGCTCAATAAGGTATTTTCCCTTTAACTCCATGTTTTACTGCAAGTATACCAAAGTGATCTAACCAATCTAGTCATTCAACTCTAACCAGTCAACATAGCAGACAAAGAGTTGGTTTTCATCAATTGGTATGAGCAAAATATTAAAGCAGGATAATCTCCAATTATGCTACCAAGCACATTCTCTCCTGTTGAGACCTACCAAAAGACAAGAGCGTTGTGGTAAAAATATATAGATTCCTTGACTGTGAAATGTCAGATATGGTAAATTCTGATTTCAAAAGCTGAAATCCTTTTTATCTCACATTGTCCTTTTTCCCATCAGCTTCCTTCACTGATGGATTTCAGTATCCGCAAATCATCTGATCATGCTCTCCCCCCCCACCCCTTTCAGAGTAATGCCTTCTATAAAGTTTCAGGTTAGACTTTCTGCATTTCAATATGTTGTTGTTGATGGTGTCTAGTCTGACCTTTTCCATTCAGTTTATACACAGAACTTTTCTGTTGCCGTTTTTTGAAGAACCACACAGCCAATATAAGGGCAAGCAATAGCAAACATAAAACAATCACAGTGACAGCTATCATAGGACCTTTGCTTGATCTGGGACACTCTTCTCCAGTACAAGGTTCAGAAGTAGGGAGACGTTTTTCTCCAGTGCCATGGGTGAGAGCTTCTTGTTCAATTAATTCTTTAGATGATGGGTGAGTAATGCCATCCCGAGTTGACACAGTGGTTGCCACTTGTATTGGATTTGCTGTTGTTTGTTCTGCCTTTGGATCTGGAATATGATTAAATGGACTGACTGTTACACGGGCTTCTAATGTGGCAGTTTTTAATCTGGTAGGATCATACAATGTTGTGGTTGTGGCAGACTCATGAGTCACAAATCCCAGAGATGTAGTTAGGTGATACTTGATGATATCATCAAAGCCTTTGCTAGCACTTATATTCTCAGGAGCACTTGTAGGTGTTAGCACTATTGGCATTTCTTTGACCCCATAATCATGCATCCTCGGTGAGGCAGCCATAATCTTTGTTAAATCCTTTTCTGGATCTGAAGTATTGCCTACTTTTCTAACTTCAACATGACTTTGTTGGTCATTTGTAAGGATAATGTCATCTTCTGTTCCCATTGAGCTATCAACTTTATCTTCCTTCTCTTCAACATTCTCCATTACTTCTTGAGTTACAGGGTAACCATCTAACCAAGATTCATCAGTAATGGCAAATGTATCTTTTGCTGCTGTTGTATCATTGTTCACCAAAACAGGTCCAATAGGGAAATCCTCAGTGTCATAAATCATTTTGGCATCAGGTTCACTGTAGATGGTTTTCACTCCAATGTGGTTGTCACCATCAGAAAATTGTGTTTTAATAAAATCATCTGTGTTCTTCTCTGACTCACGATTATTAAAAGCCTCTGCAGGGAACCAAAATAAGTGTTTTTGGCTCAGTAGTGACACAGGAGATTCTGTTGGTGCCTTGCTACCTTTCTCAGTAGAATCCATAGCTTCAGTAACACCTTCATTGCTTCCAACCCTTTCTGGCTCTATATCTTTAGAGAGGGAAAAATCCTGTTCTTGCCCCTGCTCCCTTTCCTCTTTGCCACTGTCATCCCTATGTTCAGCAACAGGCATAGATCTGTCATCTGGAAAGTTATCTTCGTAGTCAATGTGTGCTTCGGCCTCATCTGAAAAAGTT